ACCTTTTCAGAAGTATCACCAATACTATAGGTCTGTAGATGTCAGGTCTCTACTCTCCAGTTTAATTCCAAAGGAGACCGGTAATTCTGCTGAGAAAACACTGCTGCTTTCTCTACTGATGCTGGTATGGTTTGATTTTGCTGCAGCTCAGCAGGTCATGAGTAGCTGTTACCTTCAGGTTAAGAACCATGGGCATGTTCTTATTCTCTTTTTTTGCCCTTTTTCCATAACTAGTCACTAAGGATGGGTTATAAACTGCCCGAAATAAAAGTGTGAAGGGGATAAAGAGATTCAAACTGTTCTGTGTTCTAATACTGCCATCAAGTGGATATACATAGTCTAAGGTTGCAATAAATAGCAAGGATGTAATTTCAAAAGTGGATGGGGAGAGGAAGAATGAAATAGCATTTTTGTTCCAAGTTTCATGTGGCAAAACATTATAAAAACATTTTTGGTCTAATCAAAACTTCTAGTTAAGCCTGGCTTAGTCCCTGTTCTTTGTATTAGACCACCTCCATATTTTAGCACATTCAGAGTTGCTCAAGCTTGCCTTTGAGAAACCATGAATATAATAATGTTGCTCTGTGCCTGAAAAATTTGTCTGTATTGCTAAGGATAAGGACTAGACTCTGCACTGTGCTCCCATGAACTTGTCTGAGACCCTGACTCAGGTATGAGCTTCCTCAAAGGTCCTACATCTTGAGGAGTATATATATAGGGGAGTAAAATGGAAGAAAAAGTTCCTGGTTTTGAGCTTTAGAGCCAATGACCGAAATTAACTAATTCAGTGGTTTTCTTCAAGTCCCAGAGCAACAGTCAGTTTGTATTTCATACTAAAATACTCTTCTTTATATAGTGTTTTTCCCCTTCTTGCAAAGTCTTAAAAGGAACATGTCCTCATTTCCCTCAAGGAATTTAGGAAGAAATTTAAAAATATTACTTTATGTTTTAAGAACAAAATCTAATACACAGTATGTTTTATTATGGGTTGATCTCATGTAATGACCAAAGAGGTGCAACAAAGCTGGCCCGTCTTTGTGGGCCTCAAGAACTGGCTCCAACATGGGTTGAGCAACCAGAGTCTTCTCTCAAGACTCTTCTTTCACCTATGCCAGGCAGAAATGAATATTTTCCTAGGCTGTGTGACATCCAGGAATGGAGGATTTGTCTCATTCACAAGAAACTCATAGTAAATGTGATGTGTTTTGGAAAATCAACAGTGCATGCATAGTACATGTGCAATAATTTAGTGTGTTCTGGATGCATATACACATAGTTCTGCCAGGAAATTCCTGGACTAAAAATAAATAAATAGATAGATAGATAGATAGATAGATAGATAGATAGATAGATAAATTAGTCCTATATCTGTAGCAAATTGTTTTGCCTTAAGGCTTTGATGATAAATAAATTTTGCCAAGGCACAGACAAATTTGAGAACTTGGAGAGGGAGAGAGATAGTTACGAAAAGTACTGTACTCAAGCAGTGGAATATGGACCACTGTTTTCAGTGACGGTCTGTGTATACTCCTGCAGCCAGCCTTAACGCTGCTTTACCCTCCAAAGCTAAAAGCCTGTTTCAAGCAGGAATACCACAGTCCATCTGGACCTAAATATTTCTTTGAAAACAGAACTCAAGTTACCAACCCAGAAGAGGTGATTAGCTGGGCTGTTAGGGATATGTCTACAGCAGATGCTTTAGTACTTGCAAGTAGAATCCTTATTAATCAAAAGCGATGTATACATTATTGGTGTATGGACAGATATTAAGAATGGCAGTAAAAAGAAAAGCTGTGCACATATTCTCTATTCAGACATCCTTGTCCAAAATTTCATAATTTCTACTTCTTTATATGTTCTACTTTTCCACTACAGACCTCTCCCCCACCATGGCCATGAAAGAAACCCAAACAAAAAAGAAACCCAGAAAAACACACCCTGTCTCTAAAAACTTGACCTTTGTGGAACATCTGTGGGTTTTATTGTTGTTTTGTTGTTTTGGTTTTGGTTTTGTTTTGTTGTTTTTTTTTTTTTGTTAGTGTAACAGGGACAGAGGCTAAGAGGGCTCAGAGGGAAATTTTTAAAATAAAAATATCTTTTGATATATTCTCCCATAACCTGGGGACAAGTGAGAGGGAGCTACTGTCCTTAACGAACTATACCATTGTCCAAACCCATCCCTCAGCCTATTTGTTCTTCCCTCAGCCTAGTTTTCCTTATTATTTTTTTACAGGCAGTAAGGCAGAGGTGGGGTTTGAGGCTCAAAGACATCATTGCTTGACTAAGGGAGAGCATTAAAAAATCAAAAAGGTGAGAAATGGCAACATAGGTTGGTACCTCTGGCAGTGGGTATCATACATATGTTGTTTTCTGTCCATTTACAAAAAATACGTAGAATAAATGTAAAATTGAAGTGGTATCAATGTGCTTTGTCTTCTCTTTGCCTTTATGTCAGTGTTTCTGCACAATGCTTGTCTTAAACTTCTTGCTTTGGAGACCCGTTGCAGGTTATTGATTCAAACATTGCAGCCTTCTTAAGTTTAACTTCTCTGACACTTACATGGTGATGAGGCTTCAGAGCTATGCACTATGCTAAAAACAGAGATATGAGAAAACCCATACATTTTTTCCAGTATATATATTCCAGTATAGCAGCCTTCTCTACTGTTCACTGACATCACCAATGACAGGAAGGATACTGGGAGCTGAAATCTGTGGGGTTTTATCATGTTGAGCTAATGACTTTCTCTTCAAAGAGGCTTTCCTGTCTACATATGAAGAAATACACTGTGATGGAGGAGCTGCCAACTAGATTACCATGGCCAAAAATCATGTGACAGTTTATAAATATGAATTATAATTTTCTGGATTTTGCATTTTAAACACAGGCTTTGTTATTCAAAACTTTGCTGTGGCCCGAAGCTGTAAAGGCTGAGGGAGCACCTGCTCATAGGGAGAGGGTAGGTGCACAGCTGAGCCTAGAATTTAATTGCTGATTACTAGCATATATCTACTGTGGCAGCTTGTTTTGTATCACAGTTGCAAGCTACCCAATTGAGTTATTCAGTTTCTTATCATCTCCAAATTTAGCCTAACATACGTCTAATCACAGAATAGATCACATTAAAATATACGATACTGAGCTACATGTTTCAAATATATAAGAAATGTGGAAAACTCCTGTGGCTCATGTTTCATGGCTGCAAATTCAACACTGCTTACCTGGTTTTACCTTCATCTGGATTTCTACATTAGTCATCTTCGCTATGACTGGTTGAAAAGTTGCTGGATTTGATGAATATTTATCTTCTCAACAAGAGTTTTGAGAGAGAGCATCTGCTTCCTTTAAGATTTTAATCCTGTTAGCTAGATGTCAACACTTTCTACAGTAGTATCTCAACAGCATTTTTCCTGTTAGCTCTAACCTTTGCACTTGATTGTAATGCTATGATATGTGTGAATATTATCAGCAATAAAGCAAACTTGCTATATACTTACAGCAATTAAAAGAGATGTCAAGAGAAAAAATCCTAGGGTAATGACCTGTATGTGCTTTAAGGCTTTTTTATTTTCAAATTTGAGCAGCTGTTAATGGATTTGGGAGTAGCATAGTTATCAGCAGCTTAGGAGCTGCTAAATATTCCTATTTGGGGTGGCTGGTGAAGTAAATTATTATTTGGGAGGTTAATTATTTATTTATTTATTCTTTAAGGGAGCAGCGAGCATCAGGTTGCCCAGTAGGGAAGCTGGGAGACCCTGGAGGGTCATGCTCAAGGGTGGGACGTGCCCCACCAACAGCACAGTCTCAGAACACATCGCCAGAGCTGGTGCTGGTAATGGGGTCCATCAACTATCCCAGACGCAAGTGATGAACCAGGTCCAGGGTCCATCCATGGCTTACAATCAGAAGTGAGACAGGGCCAGAGGATAGGTCCAAAAGGTCCATCCAGCAGAAAGCTTGCCTATAGTTCAGGTCTAAATTCTACCCACCATGCAGAAGTGGAGAACAGCATTCCCACAGCATAGTTCAGATCTGGACCTCTAGCCTTGGACTGCCCTGAAATGGACCTGTGGGTAGTGGTGGATAAGCGCCCCAGGTAAGGCTCCTCAGGGATGATAAGACCGATTAATGCTCTCAGAGCCCTAACATTTTTGTTGGCTTTGATGAGAAAATGCACGAGCCGGCTTCACTGTGTGCTTGCAGCCCAGAAAGCCAACCGTATCCTGGACTGCATCAAAAGAAGCGTGACCAGCAGGTCGAAGGAGGTGATCCTGCCCCTATTCTCTGCTCTCGTGAGACCTCACCTGGAATATCGTGTGCAGTTCTGGTGTCCTCAACATAAAAAGGGCATGGAACTGTTGGAACAAGTGCAGAGGAGGGCCACGAGGATGATCAGGGGACCGGAGCACCTCCTGTATGAAGACAGGCTGAGAAAGTTGGGGCTGTTCAGCCTGGAGAAGAGAAGGCTGCGTGGAGACCTCATAGCAGCCTTCCAGTATCTGAAGGGGGGCTATAGGGATGCTGGAGAGGGACTCTTCATTAGGGACTGTAGTGATAGGACAAGAGGTTAACGGGTTAAAACTTAAACAGGGGAAGTTTAGACTGGATATAAGGAGGAAGTTCTTTACTGTAAGGGTGGTGAGGCACTGGAATGGGTTGCCCAGGGAAGCTGTGAATGCTCCATCCCTGGCTGTGTTCAAGACCAGGCTGGACAGAGCCTTGGGTGGCATGGTTTATTGTGAGGTGCCCCTGCCCATGGCAGGGGTTTGGAACTAGATGATCTTAAGGTCCTTTTCGAACCCTAACTATTCTATGATTCTATGACCCTTTGCCTCTCTGCCAGTGCTGCTTTTGATTCTTGAAGATTTTCTCTCCTTGTAATATGACACAGAAAAAGCAGAAATGAAGAACTAAAAGCAGCTGTCCTATTTCAGGTGGCACATGTTATCTTTTCATTTCTTCCTATGACACAGGCATGAAGGATACTTCTCTCAGCAGAGTTCTTTGAGGAGTATTTATAGAAAAGTCAGGATCAGATCCTTTACATCTCTACTAGGTCTCTAAACAGAAAGTATGACCAATGACATTAAACACCTTTTTAACATTTTAAAATAGACAAATAGAACAATTTATGGAGGCAGCATGGCAAGCAACAGAGACCTTTAACCTGAAATTAGTACCACAAAGACCCGTAAGATTCTATCAAAGGAGCATGTAAAAATAGCAAAACTGCCTGGATAGCTGAGACATTGGTGTGAATTTGCTCCTGTTGATTGCAGTCTCTAAAGCCTTTGTCACATATAGCAGAAGAATTAAGCAGGGACACTCACTGCGGTCTTTGCTGTGGCATAACATTTACAAATAAATAAATAAACCAGTGTAGTCCTTAACTGCTGTTTATTTAAAAAAAAGCAAAATTTACAGGTACCATATTTGCCAACAAACTTTGCACAAGACAAGAAAGATGCAATACAGTTCTAGTGGTAGATTTTACTTTATATTTTACAAACTATAGCTGCCTTGAAAAGAATCAATTCCCTGCTCTTTAATATTTTAAAAAATTTATTTTACCTTTTATTTTGGGGAATGAAAACATCCTTAGCAATACAGATACATTATATTTTTTCATTATCACTCAGCACAAGCTACAGCACAAATACTGAGGCCAATCATGTGCAATAAATTCAATCTATTTTACACATTGCTATAAAAAGTTGCAAGTTGCTGCTTGGCTTTCCAGGGCCTAAATGGCAGTGTAGTTCTTAGTATAATTAGTCAATTTGATCTTTTCTGGGAAGATAATATTAACTGAGAGATTTTCCCCATTGTTAGATTTCAGAAAAAAGTTCTTTTTCTTGCGTAGGAGATGACTGTATTTGGCATTAGCAAGCCACATTTCGCATTTTGAAAAAAACACAATCCCAGTTGTACCCAGGACAACAAGACATGTAAGCAAGCCCAGTACAACAAAACATATCACCTGGCTTCTACTCAGCAAGGGATCTGCATTTTGGATAGTTTCTTTCATTGTTATTTTCAAGATTTCTTGTTGATGCACTGATCTGTGATGAGCTTTTGAGGTCGGCTTGTAATTCTGCATGTGCCTTGTCTCCATATTTGCTCCAGAAAGACTTGTGTTTTTGATGGGATGTTTGCAGGTCACACCAATGAATTCTGATTTACAGATGCATTTGAATCCTCCTTGGGGATGTTCACTGCATGTCCCTCCATTCTCACATGGGCCACTTGCACAGAACATGACACGGCTGCTGCAGAGCTTTCCTGTATAGCCATGGGGACACAAACAGCTGAAACCCACACCAGTATCTGTACATGTTCCTTCATTTTCACACGGGTTGGATTCACAGTCATCTCTATCTATTTCACAGAAGTTGCCAGCAAAACCAGAAGGGCACAGACAGGAAGCATGGGGTGCAAAACCATCGTCATCAATGCACGTTCCTCCATTCTGGCAGGGAGAACTAGAATAGATAACCACACAGACAAAACTGAATTTAAAGTCCAATGAAAGAAGCTATTATGAAACATTTTATGCAATAAAAGGGGCTGTTTTTCTTTAGAAGAGCCAATTCCAAATGCAAATCCACTGAAGTCAATGAAGTTGAATCAAGAATGAGTTTGTTCAACAGTTTTGTCAAAACAGATTATAATTTCTTCTGCCGACCCTTCAGGCAGGATTAGTAGACTAATATATAAATTCAATCTGAAGAGCTGTGAAGGGATTTAAAATTATTTCAAACATTTATTCAAATTAAGCTTCCCACTGTTTTCGTATGCTTAGAGCCATTTAGCTGAGCTACTATTCAGACAAAACTGAAGAAAGACACTAGCACCATGGCTTTGTTTTCCACCTGATTATTCAAAAAATAATCCATGTGTTGTATTGGCAAAGAAAAATACTCTGCCATAGCTGCTCGATGTAAAGCTGATCAATTTTTTTCTGCTTCTCCAGTGCTCTATGACACAAAAAATTTAGAAGCAAACATACTTTCCTGCAAACTGTTGTTCAGCCAAAAATTCTGATAAATGTAATAAAATATGTAAGTGGGATAGTTTCAGCCTTGGCAAAGGCAGCTGTAATATGAGGACAGAACCACAGGAAACCAAGTATTTCAGCAAACCATTTAGGAACTTAATAATTAGTAGCCTGGTATTATGTGTTAAGTGATGTAAATTCACTGAGACATCTTTTTTTATCTTTGCAATGTACCTTACTGAGTGACAGGTCAAAAGATAGGGCCACCCATTGACAGAAAGGTACAAACATCAATTCAGTGGAGCAATGTGGACTTGGTCCTTTAGCTGGCCCTGTTGGCAGAAAAGGGACCCTGGGTCACAGGTTTACAAATAAATCTCAAAACCCACTTTCATGGCAGCTCATCATATATGAGAAAAGCTTTTAAAACTTAATAATAAAACCTAAAGATGAGTAACACTTGGCAAAGCTTATGACAAGCCTCTCTGACAGCACCACTTTTCCTAACACTCTGATGGTAGCTACAATAGAGAGCACCCCAAGTAACTCTGGCTTTACTGGGGACTGAAATACTTGGTGGCCACCCATCATGAGAGCCTTAATATTGGGGCAGGTGACTCATCTGCCTGTTTTTTGCTGCTTTCATATAAACTGCTGATAAGCCTCTTTGTATTTTCCTTCATTGTAGATGTTGGCTGGGAAAAAAAACCTACTGAAAGAACAAACTGGAAGTCTGGAAGCAGTATTAGGAAAGCAAAAGGTGTGGGTTTCACTAGACTTTGACATAGCAGTTGCTGGTGACAGCTTGAGGTGATCATGCAAACAAGGAATTTGAGCACAATCACTAGCCACTGTGTCTGCTTTCAGCAAAATATGGAAATTGTAGTTGTACAGCCCTTGAGTAAATGAGCAGTTCTGCCCTTCTTGGAGAGTCAAGCACCATCTCTTTGCTTTACAGGTCCCATGGAAAATCTGACACGCTGCTTTGCATATGGCAAAGTGTAGAAGTTTGAACATTTATGGGTGGGTTGAATTACAGTACTTTCTAGGCAAACAGGAGGAAATTGCTGGAGAATGCAAGTGTAAAATTTTTTTCCAAACCTTTCAGAAGAGTAAATAATTAAAATAAAAACACTTAAGGGCCACTATGTAGAATTTCAATACTATGTTTATTATTAACACTGAGATGCATTTGCCTGATTTTCATATATTTAAATAAATAAAATAGTAATATTCATCTCCTTGAATAGATTGTGCAAAAATGCTTTTTTGGCATTTAACACATGTTCAACAAGGTGTGGTATATGAAATGCCAGTCGTGGAAACATGGGTGCACCACTTCTTTTCTTTCCTAATACTCTGATTTCATTTTAGAAAGTACCACTTGCTGCTCTTCTTCAGAGCAAAACTTCATCAGAAACGTCAGTAATGCGGATCACGTGCCTGACTTTGTAAACAGACTAGAACAAACACTTTGATTTGTGAATTGTCTTTGTACCATCTGTAAATGTGCACTGAGGAACCAGGGACAATGCTTAGTAATATCAACTGTTACCATTTGAGGTAGAGAGAAACAGATGAAGATGTGAATGAACTGGCGTCATTATATACAATGAGGTCTCTTTCCAGGATATGAGGTGCGCTCTCTGGTGGACTGTGAACTATTAGCAGATACAGAGTGCTTATACTGAGAACAGTTGTCTTTTTGCATTAAAAGCAGATTGGCAGAGCCTGCTGCTCGTTTTCCTGAAAAGGAGACAGCATCCTAGAGAAAATTAACTGCTGTTTCAAGTATTTTGTTTCCTTAAGAAAAATTGTTCATTGTTTCCAGACTAGCTCATAAGCAGTCAGTTTGAATGCAGAGTACCATCACAAAAATGTAGTTTCAGCAATTTAAAACAGTAAGGATTTTAAGGAATTACATGGAATTAACCTGTGTTATTTCATTGATGCTGTACCCCACCTGTTATCTTGGATAGTTAAAATATGCCTGGGTTGAATTACTGAAATATTTGCTTTACAGATGAAAAGTAGAGAAAGCAACACATCCCGTGTTAGGCAGGTAGCTTGGATCCGATTCAATGCACGTGTGAGAAACTTAAATGTCCTCATTGTCAATGAAGAGAAACAGGCAAAACAGAGCAGTTATCTTAGAGGTTGAATGTAAACCTAAACAGAACTATGTGAAAATTAAAAGAAATGGCAAAAATATTACACTGACATAAAGTTGCAAGAATGGCAATCCTTGCCAGAGAGAGGTGTTAATGTTCCTTAAACAAGAATGTACAAGTCTTCAGGAAGATTTTGTCACAAGGTGATCTGAATATTCATCATTTTCTATTGCTGAGCAAAAACAGAACCAGAGGTCACCAATATGGAACTAAAGAGAAAGAAGACAATCTCTAAAAAGAAAACTGTGATTTTAAGGTGATAGTTTTACCAAGCTTGTAACCACCAGAAAGGCATTCTGTATGCTTACGAGATCAGATCCTTGATGAGCTAGAAGACAGCAGACACTTCTAGACTTCAACAAAAACACTAGCTCACATTTTCTTTAACTTTGAAAGGTCACCCTTTTTCCAAGCATTTCTACCAGCAATACTGCTGAAAAGTTTTCAGTCTGCGTCTGTTGCCTCTTGTCCTTCCACTGAACACCTCTAAGAGTTTGGCTTCATCTTCTTGGCTTCTCTGCATCCAGTATTTATACATATGAGTAAGTTCCCAGTGCTCTTCTCCAGGCTAAATAATCCAACTCACAGTCTCACCTCATATGAGAGATGTTCCCATTCCTTAATCATCTTCGTGGCCCTTCACTGGACTCACTCCAGTACGTCCATGTCCTTTTCATACTGGGGAAACCAGAACTGGGCCCAGCAATACAGATGTCTGACCAGGACTGAGAAGAGGGGAAGCATCACTTCCTTCAACCTGCTGGCAATACTGTCCCTAACGTCCCACTCAGAGAATGGAGAGCAATGGCCTCCCTAACGTCCCACTCAGAGAATGGAGAGCAATGGCCTCCCACACTCCCTGGTCTGGTAGAAGTAAGATTATCTCCTTCAATAAACCATGGACATACCGTTACATGTCAGTTAAGAAAAATGGCAGACTGGAAGACTAGATGTTTTTGTGCAGACAGTTTGTGTATTGGTTACTGTTCTTATTACTGTATATGGCTTGTAGGTACAGTTATCTTTCATTAGAGGTGAGAACACAGGATGGGAGGTTACTTCAGGTTTGTTTACAAAACTCTTGGGAAGGTATAAATTCACCACAATAAAATGTAAAAATACTTTGAGTACTAAAATTATGCACAAACCCTCATGCTGATAATCTTTAAATCTTTACAATATGAGCAGATCAGATCTGTAGAGTTTGATAAAAATATCAGTATTATATATTTTAGCACAAAGACACTTCTACTTACCAAAGAATTCTGAATAATAGTCATAAGGAGTGCATATTTTAAATTCATGTCAGAAATCAATATTTACCCATTAATAATGCAAGGTCCTTTTTTGAGATGGCAGTTTTTTCCTGTAAATCCCTGGCCACACAGACAAATATATCCTCCATCACCAGTCTCTATGCATGTTGAGTTATTGGTGCAGGGTTTTGCAGAACATGGGTGAACATCTGTTTGAAAAAGCAACAGGTCTCAATTAATCTAATGAGAAAGAGTCAGTAGATAGTTAATAATACTTCAAACACAGTATAGCTTTAACAGTCCTTCATCCTGCGTTTTATAAATTCTGATTTATTCCTCCCTCTGTTAAAATAGAATTCAGATTGTTCAACTACTATTGCAAGCACTTTCAGTTTCTCTCTTCATAGCTCCCACTTGCAAATTGTTCCAGTCTATAAATAAGTAATATTATCAATAAAATATTAGTATGGGAGAAAGAAATAACTATGTACTCTAGGCATCCTTTCATAACCTTGGCTTCTCCATGAGCAGAATTGTGATAAAGCAATCAGAACTGGGAATTCTCCCCACTCCCTGCCCAGAGCCTATCATTATGTGCTTATGAACAGTCATTTAATAATAACAGAGATCAGCAAGTTCCAGAAAAAAAATTTCCTCTTTTGGCTGGGCTGCATCAAGCCCTGATATAACTGCACCGTAAGAGAAAGCTGTTTGACACCTGGACCCAAAGTCACACATCTCATTTTCTTTACAATTTCCCTGCTGAGCCACTTCCCACTCAAATGATTACTGAATTTTTAAAATAATTAAAAATAAATAAACGAACAAGAGCATATTTTAGCCAGTTAATGGAGCAGCCGCAGAGAAGATCTTACTGAAAGTTATCTCAAGCCTCACACAAACATGTGCACACATACACTTTCTAAGAAGATGAAAAGGGATTTAAGGGCATTTGTAGTTTACTTCCCACAACATAACATGAAATTTAGATGATATCAAGAGGTACTGCAAAATTTTAACCATAGCAAAACATTTCAACAGCCCTAGCTATTAAATATAATTTTCCCTGGATAAGAGGCTTTATTTTCTCCTGTATTAGCCTGTTTTCATTCCAAAACAACCACTTTCCATGCACTTTGAGTGTAAGCTCCAATTTTCACAAGGACCAAAGTAACCTTGAATACTTTTTGAAGCAGTGTTATTTGCTACCTATTTTCACAGGCTTTAAAAGGCAGGTAATAAAGCATGAATTCTGATGCAGGAGCAAGGAAGCTCTTTGAAATATATGCATAGTGTGTATATATACACACATATACACATACATTACTGTCACTAATTTATGTCAGGGATTTAATTTTAAAACACCACTTAGATACTTGTTGGAACATAATTCTTTAAAACATACTACATAAATAACCTCAGATAGCCTGGTTTATATATTTTTATCAAATTTACATCTCAAAAGGCCAACAGCCAAGTGATTTACCTGCTTCAAGTGGTAACTGAGTCTGAGATGAGAATTTTAAAAAAAGGATGACACATTTACACGTTTATGAATAGCCACAACCACACTACCAATAAATTAAGTAATATTTGTGTAAAACTAGATTATGATGCTGCAGTAAATAAAGCAATCACTGAGTGCTTTTTGGAAGGAAGGCAGACTCAGTAGTAGTTTATGTCACAGCAGTTTCTAGATCCTGTCTCATGCATGCCTAGTATGGGCATTAGAGGCTCCACCTATACTCTCTTTGTGACAGTCATCAAAGTCAAAAGTCATTAAAGTCTTGGGCAAAGAAGTCAAGTGACATATAACACAGTATACTCCAAGCTCCCATCACGTGTTTTTAGCCAGATGGAGGATGTGATTCATGCAGGAAGACAGAGGCCCAGTAATATGACTGTGCAGACACAGAGATGGCAAGATGACAGATGACTGATCTGATTTAGCAAGGTGGATCATATGCTCTGACTGGGCTGTTGTTTTATCCTGGAAATAAATTGACTAAATTGGTCTTACATTCAATGTTTGATGTGGTTCCTTGTACTGTATAGCATATGTCAGCTGCAGAGAGAAACTGTTGTGCAGCCTGGTTCCAGGTGTTTATATACCCAATTTCAAGGCTGTGTTTCCACAGGATGAGAAGATGCACTGTTAGGCAGGCTGTGGTGCACTCCACTGCAAGGAGGTTAACCAGCAGTGTTAACACTAATACCAACTCATAGATTTCTTTCTTTAAGTGCAAAGTCTGTCCACATAATTGCAATAATAGTCATAAATGATACCACTGATCCTGCCCTACATGTTTACCGTGGATCAAGCTCAACCTATAATCTGTGGGCCTCTAAATTACTGGGAAAGTCATTCTTGACCTGAACTGAGAACCAGAGTGTCCATAGCAAAAACAACAGCTACACAGTCAGAGGCATTAGCAAAACTACTTCATGATTCAAAACTACTCCAGAAAGGAAATTCCACGATCCAAGCCAAGGAGACCATACACGAACTTTTCTAGAAAACAGAAAAAGATATATCACCACTGGTCCAAAATTATCTTTTTTCCTCCTATGCTTAGCAAGCAAATAAGCTGCTTGAACTGTATCTGTAGTTTACAAATATTTCAGGTATTTACAGTAGTAGACAATGAACTTCAGACCTTCCCAGAGTTTTCCTTCTGGGTTTTGCCATCCTTGTGAGTTGGCATTTGCTTATAGTTGGCAACATTAAACCATATATATATGTATATGGTTATACTGGAAACTTCCTGCAAATATTAAGCTTTCTATAGCAGGAAAAAAAAAATAAATTAAAGAGAGTACCAAAACTGCATTACTCACAACTCTTCATCAGTCTCCACAGAAACAACACAAATGTAGCTTTTTAACACACCTTATCTCATTACATACCTGAAGCTAAAAATGGTCTCCAGTAGTTAAAAAATGGCACTTAATATTATAGGCATGTGAAAAATATAATAGCTGTGGCTTGCCCTCATTGTACACAAAAAGTCAGTATTGGAAGAGAGAGACACAGTACTTTGTGATAAGAAATTAATGGATTTGTATTTCCATATTTAAAAAAAACAGCATGTGTGATGCCAGTGATCCCCAAAAGGGGAGCTGCCTTCAAAACCCTTCCTTCTTCCTAACCCAAGTTTCATTTAATGGTACCTGTTAATGTGCAACAGCAAATCTGTAATAATTTAACACAGGAAACTGACATCAACTTTTTGGCAGCCACCAGTGGCTGAGCAATTAACCCATTTGAGGTTTCAGTACTTTACTTGATCAAGATAACAACATGTAGCAACCCTTCAGTAGCAAAAAAAAGAGGGCCCATCTCTTGATCCCTTGTGGCAAAATAATGCATTTAGAGTAGGTAAATCTACTGAGATAACAGACTGTCAACATAACACGTGCCTGCAGATGAAAAGAAGGTTATTTCTTTTGGGTGAATGTTCTTGGCAGCATTTCATGGGGATCTAGATTCAAACTGTCAAAGAAGACTGAGATCACTCTGAGCACTCAGAGAAATAACAGTTTCTGAAATACCTGGCTTGTATAATATAACTGTCTTAATGAATATGTATTAGAATAATATTTTTCCATGAAGATACGGCTACAATTTCCAAAGCATTGCTTTGCATCTTACATACCAGTCGCGAGACTCAGAATTGCAAAGATATATTAGTACTTAAAAATTCAGCTAGAAACTCATGGGTTTTAAAAGTATGCCTAGCTTGAAAACCTTAATTCATTAATATACATTCACATTTAGATGTGAAGACAGTACCTTTAAAAACCTGGTCCTTTGGAGTTATTGTCAAGAATAGAACCAAGCCTCCTAAGGTGGCAGTGGAGGGATTTTCAGTCTAGTTTTAGGAATCTATGATTGTAGATCACAGAAAGACCCATTCTTCCTCACTGGCTGTAAAAAGAATCTAGGTGGCTGTCGTGAGTACAAACACATTCATGGGAGGTGCACAGAGCAACATCTCTTGAGAAGTTTTAGTCACATCTGCACCACTGCTACTGCAGCTCCTGCAAATGTACCAGGACTAGCTTTAAATAAGAGGCCTGTCTATGCTTATGTGTGCATCCAGTGAGTACTGGCTACAAAGCCTGATGAGTATCTAAATGAGTACCTGAGTACCTTGCACCAAGGTCCACGTCACTGCAACATGTGAACTACCTGAAAACTTTTTATTAATTTTGAAAATTTTATCCAGTTCAAACTGCATTATCCTTAATTACTGCTTTGGGTATGCATTGGCAGAACACAGACATGCTCTATAAATTACATGCTGTATTACAACAAAAGCCTGACATGAAAAGAAAATGAGGCCCGGGTTACCTGTCCTCTTCTAGCTGCAGCTATGTGGGCTGAAGAGGCACATGCTCATGGATGCTCATGTGGCTTTGGCCCCCTCAAATCCATTTGGCTGAGAATTTGTATGTGCCAGTCAAAATAAGCCAGCTCACCAGAGGCCAATTCTACAGCTTGCTTCTGCTACGCTGGCCCATTCTGACTGGCAAGGGGTGAGAGAGTGCACACAAGAGTTGTGCTTATGCCTCACAAGGAGGGTGCCACAAGGAAGTGGCAGCCTGTTCTGGCAGATCTTTTTCTCAGTTATATTAATACTACTCCACAGAATCATCACTGGGTTAAGTAAAGGAAGAAATAAGCACAATGCTTTCCTTTTCAAGAAGTATTAAGAAAGTAGCAGATGGATGGATAGATAGATAGATGATAGATAGATAGATAGATAGATAGATAGATGATAGATAGATAGACAGATAGATGTGCTAGGTAAATATTTCAAATTATTTGATGTATTACAACTTGTATTTTTATAGAAATGGCTTATATGACATGGGAGCAGTTATTTGTTGGCCTTGTCCACAATAATCATTGTTTAAAATGGAATGAGGAGTTTACACTTTGCTCGCATGCATGACCAGTTACAAAAGATACCGCATGCTTCTGCCTAAATTATTATCAAAGTTCTGGGTTTATCTGCCACTGCCCAGAATCCCCCTATTATCTAGTACCAACAGTTATTCAGAAGGACTTCAGCGTCTCTAGCACCAGATGGGGCTCTTTCACCTCACTTGCTCAAGGACAGGAAAGGATGTGCAAACCTATGTCACAGAGGCTGCCAACCCAGCCCTCCTCACAGATGCACTGCCAGGGCTTGGCACAGCTGCCGTGCAAACACCCGGGGAAAGGAACACACTGATTACAAAGAGCACCTTGCCAACCAGGCTGACACCTGAAAGAGATAAAAGATAAAGTAGAGGCATAGTTTATTTTTAATAAACATAATTGCAAAGATGCTCCCCTTTCTGAGGCACAATAAATAAACTTTTGGATACAAAATTGGACTGTGCAGCACATTTGAACAAGATACCATCAATGCTTCTGGGTACTAGCAACAGTTTATGTGAAGAAAACCATTTCATTCAGTAAGAAAATAAATAAATAAATGCTAATCAATGTAAAGACTTCACTTACTGGAAAAAGTAGACTAAAAAAACACCTAGATGTCTATACTGTATGGTTCCAATTACTGCAGCCTAATAGAGTGCTGTTTCATTACACTTCCATGTTTTCAGATGACAAATCATTTCAACTTCTGTCTATTTTACCAGGACTATAAATTATTGAAGCCATTCATTCCTGTGCTAATAGTCCTGTCTGACAGATATTTTTACCTGCATTCACTGGGAAATTCACAAAATCCATTTTCTGGGTGGCAGCCAGTTTTACAGTTCACGCCTGGAAGAAAGATTTCTCACATCAAACCAGTAAAATCAGCACTCCGCAAAAAAATTGTATCACATTTCTATACACATCACTGCTGTTTTAAAAGAACCCAGAATTAATGATGCTCTGATTTCCTTCTTCAAACACGTATTTTGCAAAATAAAATTTTAAATGAACTTAAAGTATGTTGCAGAGTGTTCCTATAGGATAAGTGAAATGACATAAAGAATTAACCGTGAAAGAATGAAAAGTCACTTTAGCATATGCAAACTGCATGAAAAATCACTATACACGCCTTTAAAAGGGGAATTTCGGAACAGAATCATGTATGTAATTTCATAACATGCCACTCAAAATGCACTGCTTCAAAGCTACCTGAAACACAAAAGTACCTTTAGTTAAAAGGAAATTTCATTCAATGCAATGTACAATGAAAGCTTTGAATCCATTTCAACTGTACATGGGATGAAAAAGATCTACGAAAATTACCCTTTTCATTAACTCACGCGTGAATAACGTGAGTTAAAGAGGTCTCAGGTACATTTTTTTGTTTGTTTCAAGTCTTTGAATCAAGCAATGTTCATCTGGAGTATCACCGTCAGCCCCTGACGTCCTGCGCAAACGGCAGGAAAGACGCACTCAGCCGGATGCAGAGGAAAAGCGTCCGAAAGACCACCAACCCGTCCACCCGGAGCGAGCCCTGGAGAAGGCTCTGCCCCCGGGGTCTGCAGGAGGACTCCTGCCTCCCGGCCCCGGCAAACTCCCAAAACTTTCCCAACTCGCCACCCCTGGCTGCGCCGCTTCCCGGGGCAATCGCCGGGGTGTCCGCCGCTCTCCGCCCTCCCCCGGCGTTACCTGGGGCTGCGGGGAGGACGAGGCGCAGCAGGCAGCAGCAGCAGCCGATGAGCCCCGCGGCGCGCAGCACCATGGCCGGGGCCGCTCCGTGCACTCCGCTCCTCTACGCGCCGCGGGGAGCTCACCGGAGAGCGGTTGCGACCTGTAAGGCGGCACCGCCGCCCGCAGCGTAACGGGGAGGGAAGGGAGGGTGGAGAGAGGAAGGAAGGGAGGGGAGAGGAGGGCTGCCTACCTCCCCCCGGCCCCCGTGCCCCCCACCCGCTAGCGGGGGACCTGCCCACGGGGCGAGGCAGCCCCTTCCCAGCTCTGCTGCTTCGCTCCCCCTCCCCTGTGAGGGGTCGGGGTGAGGAGCCCGGCGACGTGCCCAACGGGGCGCGTGCGGCCGCGGGGAGAGGGAGGAAACCTGGAAGGGCGTAGAATGGAGATCCGGTGGAGGTGTGAACTTACTCCGGCTGTCCACAGACATCTAATCTGGGTCCTGTCTTCAGAAATCTGAAGACTTTTCTGCTTAGTGATTTACATTGGAATTCCAACTTTTTTTTAGGAAATACCCCAGAAAAAGCATGGAAGGTAAAAGACACCCCCCCGCCTCCCCAAAATACACCAAAACCAACCAAAAAAAAAAAAAAAAGCCAACAAAAAGCAATACAAAACCTCCCCAATTGCTTCCTTTAACGGTCTGTTACACATGCAACAGATCAAGAAGAAACATTTCTTCCACCACAAGGCCGTTTAAATTATGCATTTTATTCTGTGATTATTCCTTCTGCCTATCTTTTTATTCTTCCTTTGAGCTCTCTTATGGAAACAGACTGGCTATATTATTCTTTGTATTCTTTCTTGTGTTTTGTTTTTTTTTGTTTTTTAAGAAGTTATGTCTGGATTTTGGGGTTCTTCAGGGACCTGGTTTCTGCTTGCTGATTTAGTGCTTTCTTCCACCAAACCTCTTTTAGCAATTTGTCTGCATTTATGTGAAGCAACTAGAGATCCCTATAGTATGGTAAGAAAACTATACAGCAGTCTGCATTTTCTCTAGAATTAATTCAAGGTTACCTGCCTGAAAATACACACATTGAAAAGAACGCATTAGCTTCAGATAGACCATTTACAGGTACCTGAAGACAATGATGTCACTCAGGTTGAATAAGTTTGCTTCTACTATGTTAGCTTTTAGTTTTAACCAAGAATAGGGGAAGCGAAAGAAAAAGGAAGAGCAGAGAACGAGGGGTGGGTTAAGAGACAACACTTAGAAGTGAGCTGTGACAGGCATACACTGCTTCTTCAAAGCTCTCCAAAGGTTTTGTTGTCTGAGATAAACTGTGCCTACCTGACTATAGGCACAGACTGCTTCCACACCTTCTCTGCTTGTCTTGCTTTCATTTTACAACTGAAACATTAACTGTTTTGAAAAGGTTACTTTGCCATCATGGCTTTTGCTGTAGCTCACCAGACCAAGCCTCGCTGGGTTACGGTGAATGACATTCCAGAGAAATGGAAATGTGGAATGTAATGATGGCTGCTTCATCCATCATTCATTCTTTTTTCTTCAGACCTTCAGAGTAGAGAGTTTGTAGAATTCATAGGTTTTATCTGTACACTCATTGCTGTCAAATTATCTGCTCTAATTTGCATTGTATATATCCTCTGACATACAATGACATGTTTCTTTTATTTTCTGAGTTAACTACTGAATATCAGCTCTATTGTCCAAAACCTGACATCTGATGAAAAAAATCATTAGTAAATCTTGCTCTCACTCTCTTATACATGATCCTCACAACCCCATATAGATGATCTTTAAGGTCCCTTCCAACCCAAACCATCCATTGATTCTATGATTCTATGGTATGTTATAATCACCATTTCAAACTTCAATTTTTGTATTGTCTTTTTCTTGATTGTTTTTCAGGGTGGTTTTTTTTTGTTTTTTGTTGTTTTTTTTTTGCATAGATACACTGTTAGGCAAAAAGTAATCCATTTTTTAGAACAACTCTACTTTTTACTCTTCTGTGTCTCAGGGGTGCTTCCTCAGTTGCTGAAATTAGGACAAATCTCCATTTTCCCATCTCTTCTACTTACTCCAGGACTCATCTAAATAAAACCTGCTAACTTTATTTCCAGGAGGTCAGAATCCTTTTTATTAGAGTGGAGTCTATCCAACATAAACAGAATTCACTGGAAAAGTGCCTGCCCAGATACTAATCCAAAAATAACAGCAAAACAGAAACACCAACATTGTGTAAATACAGACTAATTCTCTTCACTCTCCTCCTTCCACCTGAGGAAACCAAACTGCAAATCATTTTTACTTAGCTTGTTTGCTGCCAGAACCACTCTACCCCAAATCTCCATACTCTTCACAACAGTCATTGAAAATTACAGTAACTCTGTTCTGGCAGATCTTAGTGATTTCTACTTAGGATAACTTTTTTTTTTTTTTAATAATTTCTTTTTGACTTAGAAATTGGAAGGTAAAGAACCTCATGTAATCATTATGTGTATAAGGAGATCATCTGAGGTCTTAAAGATTATATTCATTTCTTCACCACAAAATACCTGAGTGGTGAGTACAGACTGAGGAGTGATGGTCTAGTGAGGTACCAACATTCACTCCTAGGAAACAGATCTGTTTCATGGAAACTTTGGGACCTTGGGAGGTTTCCTTTAGAGCTTGTTACAGGAGTCAAAGGGATCCGGTCATCAAAGACATTGACTGCAACAGCTGAATCCAGAGAAAAGTCTTCACAGATCCTTGTCCAGAAACTGAGATACTGTTGTTTCATTTGTTCCAAGAAAATGGCACACAACAATCCTGCATTCTTAGACAGGAATAATGAACATGTTAAAGGTTAAGCTGCTGGGAAAATCAGACTGAAATTGAGAATTTAAGATTGATGAGAACTTCCTTTTGTTCACTGAATGTATAAACAAGGTGCTTCAGTCTTCTGGCCAGCAACATGTAAGCAACTTTGCAAAGTCTAAAGATCCAGAAGCAGCAAGGAGTCCTTGATGTTCTGTCCTGCCTGGGAGCATTCTTACTGCCAAGTGCCTGTTTGCCTACTAATATAATACTTTTTTGACTGGAGAGAAGTTCAATCAAATTTTTATTTCATTGTTGCAAGAATCTGGAGATGGAGAATTTGCATCAATGACAAGTCATCAATATAACAGCTCCTAAAAGTCCCTGGAAAACTTCTGGCAGCTAGAATCGGAGGCTTAACAGCAGGATCACATAGAAACCATATGTGAGATCCCACATGAGAATGAGAAATAACTGTTATTAATTTGGGCTACTCTTATACATACTGCAAAAAGAAAGAAAAACATATCAATTACAGGGCAGTACCATCTCTCCAACAAACCAACAACACTTTGTGACTGAGAGTATCAGAAACTCAAACATTATCAGTGGAGAGGTTTATCCTTTATCCCTTGAAGGGTTCTCGTCAGCCGTGGATGTATACAGGCACAAAGTTTTAGGATCTGTTACCTGGATTTGCAAATTTGTGAGTAGTGTTGTCCATTAGAAAAGAGCTCATCAGACGTTATTTCATCTATGAGGAAATAACACGGTGGATGGATGATGGCAGAGCGGTGGATGTGGTCTACCTTGACTTCAGCAAAGCCTTTGACACAGTCTCCCACAGCATCCTCACGGCTAAATTGAGGAAGTGTGGACTGATGACCAGGTAGTGAGGTGGACTGCGAACTGGCTGAAGGAGAGAAGCCAGAGAGTTGTAGTCTATGGGGCTGAGTCTAGTTGGAGGCCTGTAACTAGTGGAGTGCCTCAAGGGTCAGTACTGGGACCGGTATTATTTAATATATTCATCAATGATTTAGATGAGGGAATTGAGTACTATCAGCAAGTCTGCTGATGACACTAAGCTGGGAGGAGTGGCTGTGTGCTGCCATCCAGCGAGACCTGGACAGGCTGGAGAGTTGGGCAGGGAATAACGGGATGAAATATAACAAGGGAAAGTGTAGAGTCCTGCATCTGGGCAGGAACAACCCCAGGTTCCAGTATAGGTTGGGAAACGACCTGTTAGAGAGCAGTGTAGGGGAGAGGGACCTGGGGGTCCTAGTGGACGACAGGATGACCATGAGCCAACACTGTGCCCTTGTGGCTAAGAAGGCCAATGGCATCCTGGGGTGTATTAGAAGGGCGGTGGTTAGTAGGTCGAGAGAGGTCCTCCTTCCCCTCTACTCTGCCCTGGTGAGACCGCATCTGGAATATTGTGTCCAGTTCTGGGCCCCTCAGTTCAAGAAGGACAGGGAGCTGCTGGAGAGAGTCCAGCGCAGGGCAACCAAGATGATTAAGGGAGTGGAGCATCTCCCTTATCCTGGGTCTTTATAGTTTAGAGAAGAGGAGACTGAGGGGTGACCTTATAAGTGTCTATAAATATATAAAGGGGGAGTGTCACGAGGATGGAGCCAGGCTCTACTCAGTGGCAAACAATGATAGGACAAGGGGTAATGGGTGCAAACTGGAACACAAGAGGTTCCACTTAAACTTGAGAAGGAACTTCTTCTCAGTGAGGGTGACGGAACACTGGAACAGGCTGCCCAGGGAGGTTGTGGAGTCTCCTTCCCTGGAGACATTCAAAGCCCGCCTGGACACATTCCTGTGTAACGTTATCTAGGTGTTCCTGCTCTGGCAGGGGGATTGGACTAGATGATCTTTTGAGGTCCCTTCCAATCTCCAGCATACTGTGATACTGTGATACTGTGACACTGTTGGAGCCTTAGGGAACTATTTTACATGCCTTATGTCAGGATGTCCCATCCTCGTGTGACAGGACAAGATGGGCTGAGCCAGCCTGTAAGCTTGTTGGGGCTGAGCAGAGCATTGACTCCTTTCTCTTAAACTCCTTGATGAGTCCCAGGGGCACAATTGCCTTTCTCCCCCCATACCAGCTTTACTTCTGGTATCTCTGGCTCTTCAGGGAGCTGATTCAGTACATTGTGATGTCATACAACTGACAAGAAAAGCAAATTATTTATATTGTCATTATACCCACTTCAAGAACATGTTTCTGCCCTCACAAAACGCAAGAGGTAAATGTCTGTAGATTTCAGTGGGGATACAGGTGTCTTGTCCAGCACCTTCTGTATCAGGGCACATAAAACAGGAAGATTTTCTGCACTGAACAGATTTCACTACATACAAAAATAGCAGTTGTCAACAGTTAGCTGGAGATTGCCAAAATATGGGTTTTTTTTTATATCTAGATAATTTTCCCCAGTTGGAACAGTATCAAGAGTGTGTAGAGATAA